TACTATAACATGTGGGTCTCGCTTGGCGGTGCATTACTTTGCATTGTTGTGATGTTCATCATCAGTTGGGTTACGGCGTTGATAACCTTCTTCTGTTTCGCAGCATTGTTCCTCTACATCTTGCATCGAAAACCGGGTAAGCTTGATTTTTTATCGTTTATCTTATTTTATGGGAGATAGTTTAGATGTGAACTGGGGCTCATCTACTCAAGCTCATAGTTATAAGAATGCTCTTGCTGGGATGATCAAGTTATCACACACTGAGGAGCATGTCAAAAATTATAGGTTCGGCTTATTAGCACCTACAATATGCACACCAAACGAATGCATCTGTGAATATTTTAGGCCACAGCTGTTAGTGTTGTGTGGAAACGCTGCTGCGAGACCATCACTGATTGATTTCGCATACAACATTACCAAAGGGTCATCTTTGATGATCTGCGGATATGTTGTTCCGGTGAGCATACCACTTACTCACTAGATAATTGCAGATTAAATGACCATGGAAGTGTGGATTCTACATCTACTGTAATTATTGCAAATTTATGCTTCATCTGAGAATATATGCCCCTCATTTACAGTATAATCCTTCTGATCGCGTACATTCTGTTATGCGGAAGTTGGAACGTCAACTGAGCGAATGGTTGCAGAAGAGACGAGTGAAGGCTTTCTATGCTGCCATTGCAAACGTCAGTCTTCGCGCCGGTGCCCAGTCTTTACTTCAGGTGAGTAGTCATTATGTGGTTTTCCAGAGACTCATCGTTTTTATTAAGGTCTGCGGACTTGGCAAATTACGGCCAAATATCATTCTCATTGGCTTCAAGACGAATTGGTACCGAAATGGCCCAATACCTGAAACATTAGACGAAATGAACGAGTATTTTGGAACAATCCAGTTCGTTTTGCTTTCTTTTTCTCGCAACACAACTGATGAAGAAGTTTAGGGATGCTTTTGATAGCAATATGGCAGTCTGCGTACTTCGAAATGGAAGTATGGGTCTTGACTTTAGCGAAGCTATGAAACTTTTGAATGTGGGAGAATCTAAACGCCTGGACATAAATCTGGATGAAAATGCTGGAGAAAAAGAAAAGTGGGTTACATCTTTATTCGTAATTTCCAAATAGTTTCCATTGAATTTCCTAAATTCTTTTATGAGCAAATGTGATAATTTTGCAATTTTCTGTACTCATTCCGCTTTACTGCGTAAATAACATCCTTTAACGTAAATCATCTAAACCATCTTGAAACTGATTTTGAGATAAATCAATCTTTTTGATCTTTTCAGGTTTAATAAAGGGTGTCAGGGAAAAGCTGTGCCCATTTTTGATCATCAATAACTCTTTTGCGCATCTTTGCTAAGCGTCAGTGCTATGGTAGTCATTTCGAAAGCTAGCTTGAAATTAGATAGTCATAAAGCGTTTCTAGTTCCTTTCATCATGATCACGTGGTAAAATGTGTTTTTCATTGTTCAGCGCTTACAATAGCTTTTGAGTCAAACTTTACTACTTCAAATGACTACCATATCTGGGCTCAGCATAGATACAGATACCATATCTATTATCAAATAATCCCATTGAACAAGTTCCCAGCATTTTTAGAACTATCTTTTGACAATTTCAATGGTTCTTTACGGCCAAGGCGAGAATAACCAAAAACTTTGTTCCATATTCCTACGGTAGTGGAGAGATACAGACAGGTACAAATCATTTTTGCGTACAAATCCAAATTTAAGCTAGTCCGTCAAATTGAATGATTGGTATAGAAATAAAAATCTTCTTCTTCTTGAAGCGAATCAGTTTATTGCAAAGATTAGCGGTAATTTCTACTGTTTTGAAATTACATTTATTGCTCTTCTTCCTTTCAGAAAATGCCGAATCTTAGATTTTAAGAGGGTTGGTTGCAGCTTTTAAGTAAAACAATGCTTGCGAACGGATATTCTGTGAATGTAATCTCAGTGTCATA